GCTGTTTGTCTTCAGTCTCTGTCTCTCTCCGTCCATGCAGATTGGGTATGCAACACGACGGCGAGGCGAATGACTGCGGTGACGACGTGCCTTTGGGCAGCATCATGTCTCCGCAGGTTCAGGCCACCTTCCACCGTTACCACTGGTCGAGGTGCAGCTGGAGGGAGCTGCACAAGTACCTGCAGTGAGTACTGTGAATAATACTACAACGTCTACTAAGTGTTGCTGATGTACAAAGCAGAAATACTAAAGTCTTAACCTAATGCACTGAGCTCGGTTTGTGTGCCTGCAGCACGTACGACTGTCTGCGTGACGACCCGTTCAACCACAACTGGCCGGCTCAGCCTCAGCTGCCGGGCTTCCAGTACTCCATGGACCAACAGTGCCGCTTCGACTTTGGACCAGGATACAGTCTCTGTACCGCAGTACGTCCATCTGTCTGTACTAAATATTTGCATTAACTTTATAAAATTATGTGAAAACATTTCAGAGAAAAGAGAGAAGCAATATAAAACTCACATAAACACCAGGTACAGGAAAATACTTAATCTTTCCAATAACTTTCATTTAGGTTTTTAACTTGATTGAACAGTGTGACAGTCAGGTCCAACACTAAAAACGTCTCCCTGATATTGTGCAGGTCTCTTTAAATCAGCTCTGAGCCGTGGCTGTGGGGGTTTTGGGTCGTGAGGAACGGACTTGTTCTGATACAGTGCTCGATCCGGCTGGGATCTGCACTCTTTCACGTTTTCCACATGTTGTGGGACATGATCTACCTCGGTCCCATCTGAGAACCAGCCCACGCTTCAGCAGGTTTCATAAGCGACTGTTTTTATTTTTTACCATGAGCATCAGCGTGGTAGAAGGCGGGGTTTGTACTGGAGCTGATGCTGGGTCCCACTGTTCTGCTGGCCGAGGCTGCTGCCATCAGCAGTTACTGTTGGGTTTGCAGCAGTGTTTAGCTGGGTGGTACTTACAGATGAAAGCCAGGACCCAAAGGTTCCAGCTGAACATTAGACCTCAGGAGATGATTGATGGCTGTTGTTGCACTGACACGATGTCTCCTTATCAGAAAGTTGTTTTTTAAGCAGAAAAAACAAAGTTGTCAGTGTAAGTGCAGAGAAAACAGTTTAACAGTCGTTAATGAAAGAGTTTGCTCCCCCACGAGCCAAAAGAGAAACTGAAGCCGGCTTTGATGAAGTGATGTAAACATTTGTGTTCTGTGAGGAAAACAAACTGGAGCAGCCAGAGGAAACAGGGGCTGGAGGCTGGTGGAAAATCTGTTTTAAATCCTGAGAGGAAATGTGATCCAGCAGGAAAACAATCAGAGCTGAACTGAAGGAAGCTGCTTCACTGCAGCGTCCTGATGGAAACCTCGAGTCTTCAGCTCAGCTGATCCGTCTGACGGCTTCTTTTAAACACTCTCCAGAGCGGTTTCCACGGTAACGTCACCTCCTAGCTAACATCCTCAGCAGATGTTGCTGCTGGCCTCAGCTCACATCTGGACATCTCATAGAAAACTTTACAGTCCTGCTTCATTGAAGGCTTCCCCGAGCTGATGTTTACCTGCTGGTTGTTTCTTCACGTCGCCGTGTTCGCCACGTTTCCTGTTCTGAGAAATCTTAGCAGGGTGCCAACACGAGGTTTTATCTTTCCCTCGTCATCATGCGCTGCCTGAGAATGTGTCAGTTTCCTCTCTTTATCACGGTAATAACCTCCACACATGAGATGTCTGGTTCTGTGGTGCTTGTGGGGCTTTGGGTGCAGGCGATAAACAGGAAGTACCCCAGACAAACCGCCATTGTCTGACCACAAGTTTACTTTATTCACTTTTAAATTCAAAATCAAATTCAAATTTTATTTGTCACGTACACAGTCATACACAGTACGATATGCAGTGAAATGCTTATCGTGCTTTTATCTTTTTTTAAACTGTCTGCTTTCACAAACAGTGTCTGCTGATGAGAACAGGAAGTCTCTGAGATACTGGCGCTCATCCTCAGAGTAGCTGATAGCCAATGGATTCCCAGATGGTCATGTGACCTGATGTTCAGGAAATAAGATTAAATGTGTTCTGATGTGGAACAGACAGAAGTGTTTCTGAAGGCTGAAGCAGTGGTGACGTTCATGCTTCCTGTGACATCACCAGCCAATGACCTTCTCATCATGTGTCTGCAGTACACGAACATCGACCCCTGCAAACAGCTGTGGTGCAGCGACTACAACAACCCGTTCTACTGTAAGACCAAGAAAGGCCCGCCCCTCGACGGGACCAAGTGTGGGCCGGGGAAGGTGAGGACAGATTTAGGCTGAGTCTTACTGCTTCTACAGGACATGAAAAGGTAAGTAGCAGCCAGGTGTTGCAGTTCAAACACACCTGATCATACAAGTTTGGGCAGTTTGCAGGTCTGCAGTGTTCAGGTGTCTGTTAGCACAATGCTAAAGAGGAAAAACATCTCCAGTGATCTCAGACAAGCAACTGCTGCCTCCCATCAGCCTGGGAACCTGAATAAGATCATTTCCTTCATTCTGCAGTGAGAAACATTCACAGGTGTTCTCAGGAGTGCACGTCCCAGTAAGTCAGACCAAGCAAAAAACCAAACGGCTCCATCAAAGACGGGCCTCAGTTAGAGGTCAAAGTTCATGACAGGGCAGGTAGAGACAAACTGAACAAGTATGGCTGGTTTGGTTTCCTGTACTTCCTGTCTTTACGCTAACGCTAACTTCCTGTTGCAGCATTGTTTCAGAGGTTACTGCATGAAGCTGACCCCTAACCTTCTGAGACAAGATGGCGGCTGGGGGTCGTGGAGTCCATATGGCAGCTGCTCCCGGACATGTGGGGGCGGGGTCAGGTTTCGGACCCGACATTGTGACAACCCAATGTGAGTGAGCTGTCAGTTATGTGGTGTCACACGTCAGGTGCGCCAATCAGTAAGACTAACCCATCGCTGTTCTCAGTCCGGCCAACGGGGGGCGCACCTGCTTTGGAAACACCTACGAGTTCCAGCTGTGCAGCCAAGAGAACTGCCCCCCACTGACAGACTTCAGGTGAGTGCTCTTACCTGCCCGGCCCCTCCCCCTTCCTCACAGAGGTCAAGTGAGCAGCTGTGATGTTCTGATTGTGTTTCAGGGAGGATCAGTGCAAAGTCTGGAACCCTGTTTTTGAACACGAGGGGCGGAAACACCACTGGCTGCCGTACCAACACCCTGACCGTGAGCGCGCACACACGCACAGATAAAGACACACACACACGCACAGATAAAGACACACACGCACACACACAGATAAAGACACACACACACGCAGCTCTTCTGGCTTCTGTCCACATAGAGCAGCAGGATGGTTCCTCTCTCCACTACAGCAGCGGTCTCCAACCTTTTTTGCGCCACGCACCGGTTTATGCCCGACATTATTTTCATGGACCAGCCTTTAAGGTGTCGCGGATAAATACAACAAAATAAAACTAGTACTGGTACCGACAAAAAGAAGATTTATTCATAAAAGACCCAGGAAAACCGAGTAAACGATAAAAACGATAACAAAATAACGCTGAAAACCGATAAAACCCTGAAAACCAGACATTTCACACCTGAGCCTCAACTCTCGCGGCCCGGCACCAAATAACTCACGGACTGGTACCGGTCTGAGGCCCTGGGGTTGGGGACCGCTGCGCTACAGTGAGGACGTTTCTGCTTCAGAGGACGTTGGTGGACAGATTTGTGCTCTGTGAGGACGCTTCAGGACAAACCTTTAAAGGCCTGTTTGGAGATTCAGACGAGGTTTCCGGCTTCAGATTTATAGTCTCGGAAATACGTTATGTAACTGAGGGTCCTCACAGAGACATAGAAACGTGTGTGTGTGTGTTTGTGTGTGTGCGTGCGCACATGTAAAAGTCATCAGTGAGGAATCTGCTGCTGGAGGAAAACTCTCCTCCTTTAACTCTTTAGTGTCGAGCAGACGTTAGCAGATGTCAGCAGATGTTTCCAGAATGATGTGAAGCTCCTGCACTGACTCGTTTGTGTGTCACAGCTGACGAGCGCTGCCGTCTGTACTGTCAGTCGAAAGAGACGGCGGCCGCAGTGTCAATGAAAAGAATGGTGCATGATGGGACGCCATGTTCCTATGACGACGTCTACAGTGTCTGCGTCCGAGGAGAGTGTGAGGTCTTTATTGTGTCTCAGTTTCTGTGTGTTGACCTCTGACTGAAGAACTGTGTCACGTTTTACTGTTTCAGTGAACTATTATTTAATGTGGTCCTGACTCATTCCTCCTCTCCTCATCTCCTCTCCTCATCTCCTCGTCTCCTCTCCTCTTCTCCTCGTCTCCTGCAGCACGTTGGCTGCGATGGTCAGATTGCTTCAGACAAGCAGGAGGACCGATGTGGAGTGTGTGGAGGAGATAACTCCAGCTGTAAGATCGTCAAAGGAAACTTCACCCGCAGCACCAAGAAACAAGGTGAACCGAGCTGAGACTGAGTTCTGGTTTTAAGCTTAAATTCACTCAAACCTGCAGCTCAGCTTCTGTTAGTACAGTGACGTCACAGCAGCCACGTTATTGGTCACATGATGTCATTAAAAATGCTCCAAAGGGCTCCAACAGCCCAGAGGCTGGTCCAGAGGTCCGGTTCAGGTCAATCTTACAGACAACTAGCAGCTGCAGCCATCTGTGTCACCATCCACCTGTCAGTCAAAGAGGCCACGCCCACAATAATGCAGACTTTAAGCCTTAAAATAATTTAAACAGGTGAGCTATAAACAGGTTTAAGTTATCCGTGTAGAACAGAACAGTCCGTGTATCCGGCTGTAAACATGTTTATTTTAACATGGGAGTCTATGAGGACTGACTCACTGCTGCCTCTGCTGGACACCAGAGGAACTGCAGGTAGGTTGCAAGTTTATCTGGACCAGGCTGGTGGTTCAGATGTTTGTTCACACCCTCCTGATGTTTCCTGCTGCATGAATCCTGATCCTTTATTGGACGGTTCATTATTGGATGATTATTGTTTCCAGGTTACCTGAAGATCCTGGAGATCCCCAAAGGAGCTCGACACCTGCTGATCCAGGAGTTCAAGGGGACTCCTCACATCCTGGGTAAGAATCAAGAACACGCATAAGGATTTCCTATTTTTCTTTGGTCTTCTTGAAACACCCTGTCTTTCTGTTTCCTGCTACAGCCATGAAGAACCAGGACACAGGTCATCTCTTCCTCAATGACGAACACGAGCTCCCAGAATCCAGAGTGGTGATTGAAAAGGGCGTGGCCTGGGAGTACAGGAACACTGAAGAGGAAGAGGAGGAGTCTATCCAAACCACCGGGCCGCTGAAGTATGGAGTCGTGCTCATGGTAAGTCCATCGGTGTGTGAAGCCCAGAGTGTCCACGGTGTATCTAACACAAACCAGAACTACCAACACCCCGCTGTCTCCTGTCCGTCAGGTCCGTTCTCATGGCGACTCAAAGGTGACGGTGTCCTATAAGTACATCATCCAGGATCGCCTGCGGTCCTCGCTGGAGTCCAACTTGGTGCAGGAGGACGCCATCTTCTACGAGTGGGCCCTGAAGAAGTGGTCGCACTGCTCCAAACCCTGTGGAGGAGGTACCTGAGAATCTCCAAACATTAGAACTTCAACTCCTCGATACTCCATCATCCATCTTCTACACCTTCTCTGAGTCAGCCCAGCTCTTCTGTTCTGCTTTATTATGTCGTCTTAATTTGGGAATACTTGGACTTTTTTGCAGAAAGAGGGATAAATAATGATTTTAGGCCTTGAGCTCAGTTCTTTCCTGCTCACTGAGGCGTATTCCTCTATAAACATGTTTCTACATATCTATAATCTGTGAGCAAAGAACAAGATTTATTTTACTAACAGCCAAGAAGTCCGGATATCTGTTACGCTTTACAGACTTCCTGACTACACCAGAAAAAATGGTACTCCGTGTGATTTCCCAGCATTCCCCTTTAAAGGTCAAAGGTCTGAGTCTGTCGTCAGAGGTGAAATGTGTGTGCCTCCCATTGTTTTAACTACATGGGCTTCTCAACTGGACCAACCGCTGATGTAGGTCCAGGCCTTCCTGCCAGTATGAGCCAAGCCTAAGATATCTCAGTGTCATGAATCGGCTCTCTTGTCTCTGAGGTACACAGCTCAGCTAACAGCTAATAGCTGTGGCGTACTTCAGTTAACTGTCATCAGTAGCGGTTTTTGATACAGGCGACATGGGCGGTTGCTCGGGGCGGCATCTTGGTGGGGGGCGGCATCACGGGCATCGGCAAAAAATAAATAAATTGCTCGTACTCATGCTGCCCCGACATCAGCCAGCACATATTGGGAATGTCACAGGCCCTGTCACTACCCGATCCGTACCGGAAACCTGATCCGTACTCCGCATGCGCCAAAGGTTTCTACTTGCGGTCGAAGCGTTTTACGATAGTTACGGGTCAGAGTATCTGTTAAGATGTTAAGAATAACAAGTATATCTTAAATAATGAAACATTTCAATATAATGTAGACAAAAACAAAAAAATTAAAAGATAGTTACGGATCAGGACTCCCCGATCCGTACCGCGCATGTGCAGATGTTTTCTTCTTCTTCTGTTCGTTTAATGGCAGTTTACTCCCCAGTGTACGAGGATACCGCCACCTGCTGAC